ATAGCCGGGCACCATCAGCTTTCTTCACCACATTTGCTTATGCACACATTTTTGTCTTCAGCGATCATGTTGGGAAGGTGAGCATCACAGAATGCTGGGTTATTAGAACAAAGTGGTCTTGCATTGAGGGAGTACTGAGTAGAGGCCCAATGTCCATCTGCTACCTTAACACTAAACCTATAAATATATGTACAGAGATCTATTTCCCTATTTCATATAAATATATTTACATTATAGATGCCTGTATTCAGACCTCTATAAATGTCCTTTGCCTCCTAGTTCTTTCCTCTATTTCCTTTTACTTTCCTCTTGTCCCACTATCATGTCTGACCTTCATTTGACTCTCAGTAATTCCTCTTGGCTACATTGCACTTGATCAAGCACGACCAGGCATCCTACGCCCTCCTTGCCATCGATTTTAGATCACTTGTTATTACCTTGTCCCTGGGTTTGTTGACACGCTCTTCCTTTTCCCCGCCTCCCCCTCCCCCGTGTCTCCCTAGAACCGTCGGTCCCGTTGTTTTCTCTTCCGGATCGTTTATCCAGCCTATCTCATCTAGCTAGACATGCGGAGATAATAATAAGCACAAAAACAAGCAAAAGAAAACAACAACAAAACAACAACAACCAAAACGGTCTCAGTCGTAATTCTGCCCCCTCCCCCCACTTGCTGTGTGATCCTGGGTGCCCAACTCCTCATCTGAGTCCCTGGAGTAATCATCATTTGCCTCAATGGGAGGCTCAAACCAGACCTGAAACCCAGCCAGGGAGCTCTTTGTCAGGTGCAAAGCATTGTGGGCCTGAGTGAATCCAGACAGGCTCCCAGGCCTCCCCAGCCCCACCCCTTGCTGGCAGATGCCTCATGCACTGCGCTCACAGTAGACGTCCACCGTGCGGCTGGTGTTGGTGCTGCCCAGGGCGTTGGTGACCTCGCAGGACACAGGCTCGGTGAAGTACGTGTAGTCTGCTGTGGTTCGATACACCTCTCCCGACGCCTCCCGGATGATGTGGCCTTTTTTGGCCCACCTGCAAGAGAGGCTCTGTGGGCCTGGGGTGGCCCTCGAGTAGTAGGGGTGCCCCTTCTCCTGGGGCATGTCTCTCTGGGAGCTGGGAGCATCCGGCCCACCTGAGCACGGGGTGCTGGCCCTGGGCAAAGTCCCTGAGGTGTGCCCGGGCCAGGTTTGCTGCGGTCCTGTTTCCCCTGCCTTAGTCACCCAACACCGCTAAGACAGAAACAGCACACGGGGGCTTTCGCAGCCAGAACGACGGTTCCCCACAGCTGGGAGCAGCAGGTCAGAGGCGAGGGTGCCTGCCGGCTAGCTCTGGGGCAAGGGCCAACCTTGCCTCTCTTCAGCCTCTGTCCCTCCTTGCCTGGTGACCTTCCTGTGACCTGGCATCTACCCCCCATCTCTGTGGGCTCCAGCAGCTCAGTTTACACCATGGTGGTGGGGGCTTACTGCATACTCTCAACTGGCATATGCTCACTAATGTAATAAAGAAAACCCTGTTCTCAAATGAGATTACATCCATCAACCTAGGGGTGAGGATTTACTATATACATATAAATTTACTATTATTTACAATATGTGTGTTTTATTATATACATATATTTGGTTGTTTTGAGGGGGAGGCACACAATTCAATCCACCCGAGCAGTCATGGTGGGCTTTGGTCACTTGGTCACGGCTCGCTTGATGGGTGAGTTGTGCTGGTGGGAGGTGGGTTGGTTATTCCGTTTGTCAGTTGGCGGGGACCCGGCTGGGTAAGTCCACTGTCTGTCAACACAGAGCTTGGCTGCTTGGCTCGGAGCTCTATGGTCGCCCTGTCTCGAGTGACGTTGGTGAAGGAGGCTGAGTCCATGGGCGCAGAGGGTGTGTGCGCCAGATGCAGATGGACACACACATGCAGACACACGGGGTCAGGAGCTTACACTCCAAACAGTTAGAAATCGTGCGGGAAGTGAGGTCTCCTCTCCCCTTGGCCCGTTGTCTCAGCTCTCCTGGCCCAACTCCTGCCCTGGGGCGGGCTGGGCTGCGGTGGCCTGCTCCCGGAAAGCCCGCCCGGCTTCCCTGCATCTTTGTCCCAGGGGCTGCGTGCCTCAGAGGCCCTGACTCAGTCCTGGGCTCTGGTGGGGTTGCCGCCTTCCCGCAGTGAGGCAGTAGTGCACCAGGGGAGGGGAGACTGCCCAGCCTGGGGCTGTCTGGGTGCCGGCCCTGGGGTCGGGCATTGGGCCCATACATGAGCATTCTGTGGGGTGGCCTTAGGTCTGCATTGAGGGCGTGCACATACCTGCATGTGGGAGGGAGAGTTTATATATGTGTGAGTGTACGTATGAGTGAGGGGGTGTGAGAGAATGTGTGGTGTGTGCATGTGTATGTGGTTGTGTGTTTGTGAGGGAGAGTGTGTGTGTGTGAGAGAGAGAATGTGTGGTGTGTGCATGTGTGTTTGTGAGGGAGAGTGTGTGTGCGTGTGAGAGAATGTGTGGTATGTGCATGTGTGTGTGGCTGCGTTTGTGAGGGAGAGTGTGTGTGCGTGTGAGAGAGAATGTGTGGTGTGTGCATGTGTGTGTGGCTGTGTGTGAGGGAGAGAGTGTGTGTGTGTGTGAGAGAGAATGTGTG